ATAGCTGAAGCTGGACATAGTCCCCTCCTTGCCCTTAAGCCCACTTGTGCCTCTATAGATAGATTCCAATCTAGGAGTATCCCGAGCAAAATAATATCTACGTGTACATGCACACGTTGTCGTAGCCATTTTCTTGCTGTTTTAATTGTAAAATGTAGTGATAGTTTAATTTGTGTCCAAAGCAGCTTATAATAGTTAAACCTGCAAAACCCAAATTGAACCAATGGTCTTCCTTATTTATATGCCCCCAATCTCATAAGAACTCAGAAACCTGTATGATTTGGGACGAAAACTCTAAAAATGTTGCACTTGCATAGGATCTTCTACTTTGCCACATCCATTGGCTGACCTCTGTGGTTTAAGACAGCATAATAGCTATTGTTTATTAATTCAGCTACTTGTCACTATAAGTAGGCAAAGTCTTACTTTACTTTGATAATGTCAAAAATACTGAAAATTTCCTCAGTAAGTTTTTTTTTTAAAAGGTTTGTTGAGTAAACAAATTGAATAACTGTTCATAGCTGCGTAGTTGTGGATTTTTTTACTTGACTAGATTAGTTCCCATTGACTCTGGTACACTATAGACTGATTGCTTACCTATGAAATACTAATTTGAGCTGCCATTGTAAGAAGTTACTATCCATATTACATTTATACAGACATCACCTTGTGTGAGATGGGTGGCTATATAAATATGATAAATAAATAAGTAAGTAAGTTAGAAGGAAACAATGTACAGTGTAAGGGAAACAATATGAAAACGGTTCATATTGATAATCTTTGTTACTGACCATGATACTACGTTAGGAGCTTTTTAGGAGCTGCAAATCTGGTTCACCTCTAGAAAAATGTGAAGCATAACAACAAAATGTTATGGTATCATGAAATATCACTCAGTAAAGAATAGAACCAGCAAGATGTTTAATTATTTCATTTGGAAAATATACCACATGGTACTAAAGTTTTGTTCTAAGTGAGAATGAAATAATCATTTTATAAAACTTGGATTTGCTTCCTGTCCTAAGAGCCAGTAAAATCATATATGAAATATATAATTAATAATAGGAGCAAAACTGAAATCTTCTTCCTGATTTCAGTTTGAGAAACAGCTGTCCTGCTCCAATTACCCTACTGGCTCTTCTGATAGGTGCTGCAGAGAGGACTACCTTGACATAAAACAAATTGCAGCTAGTGATTAGTTGAGTAAAGTTAAAACAGTGACATGGAAAATGTATGGGTCCAAAGTAAGATAGTTAATTTCTTTTTAAACACTGAAACTTCTAGAATAATTACCTTGCCTACCTAAACAATACATTGTTTTTGGTGGGACATAGTCATTTGTGGTCCTGTAAAAATACCATCTGTCTTTGATGCATGTTTGAGAGAAATGTTATTGTAGAAAGAACAGCTCCTGAAATTCATTGAGCAATAGTCATTGGAATGAAAAAAATATATGGACACACTTAAAGTTTTATTCATCTTTGATTTTTTTTTTTTTTTAGTGGGATTCCTTTGGGAAACAAACAGGACCGTAAGAAAATGGGACAGTACAGGGTATTCCAGTTCAGCATTCAGACCAGTCATGTCTTTTTGAATAGTATTCTGTTCCATCACTCCAGTTTTCTTTCACACCTTCATCTCTTAGACAGTCAACTTTCTATGTCCCTTGAGCATACTCAGTCCTTATTGGATCCCATCCTAGTTGTCCTCCCCCCCCCAAAAAAATACATTTTGTATTTATGCCAGTCTTAGAGATTTTGGAGTTCCTCCAGGCTAGGGATACTTCCCTCACTCAGATATTTCAATATTGCTGTTTGGCTACATTGGAACTCACACTCAAACAGCATGGTTGGTCTTAGTTCATGAGATAAAACCACACTTCTTTGCTAGAAAATTTTACATTGTAATTGTACAGGTAAGTGTCATTTATAATATAATTTATCTCTTTCCCATCTTAACACCCACATTTTAATTGTAAATATCCTACATTCAGAATTTTGAAATGATATATTTTAGAAGCATTGCCACTGTATTGATACTGTGAACTGAATCTATCAAGTGTCTCAGTAGGATGGCACTCTGTTTCATCCATGTATGTAGATGCAGGAGAATCTTTCTCACACTGTCATCCCATGCCTCTTTGAATGAAACATGGATGGAAAGCGTGGAATACATGATGCAGCTTTTCCCCCTGACAATTACAGCAAGCCTAGGTTGCATTATACAGAAGTGACCATCACACTGTCATGGATGCGCGCATTTGACTATTCTGCCGGGTTTACTTTATGGTGTAGCAGCTAGATTAGGAGCAGGAAACTGTGGCCCTCCAGATGTTGGATTCTGACTCCATCAGGCCTAACCATCATGCTCAGAAATGTTGTAGTCCAACAGTGCTTGTTGGCCATAGGTTCTCTATTCTGATTTACAGGGTCAAAGAAGAACTGGGAGACCTAAGTTCAAATCCCTGCTCAGCATAAAGCACACTGGGTAGCCTGAGCTGAGTGTTTTCTCTTGGCCTAATTTATATCATAGGATGACAATAAAAGTAGGAAAAGAACGATGTATACTGACTTGAGTTTCTTGGAAGAAAGGGACAATATATTTTTAAAATGTAGGTTGATCCCTTCAAATTTATCATCTTGTGTTCTGTAAAGGTCATAGCATAGCCATGTCATTATGAGTACACATGATATATGCTCAACTTTTTGTTTTCATAAAACTAGATGAAAACTTCCATATGCCCAAAGATCCGTGACCATAATTTGAGACAATGTTTTGTTTTTGGTGTTTTTTAAAAAATACATATCATGTTATAGAAAATTCTAAGAATTCTTTAGAGTGGGAATAAACGGGGGCAGGGAGGAGGAAAATATATGCCAGAGAAATACTGGGGTGGAATGGGATGGGGAAAGAGAGCTGTTTGACACACACACAAAAATAAAAATAAAACTTCTGTATTTTGGGTGTAAGGATGAGAAAGAGATAAATGGTATCACGGCCGCTCACAAGTAAAGGAGGACTGTTCTGTTCGCTAGACTCCAAGTTTGCAAGATGTGAAACCTGATACCTTCCTACTCAACAGATTGTCTCATGCTTGCAAATATATACAATCTTGATATAATTAGCAGTCATTGTACTTTAAAAGTGAGAGATCTGTCTAGCCAGTCTCCAATTAATTTTCTTTAGGGGGGCATTCTTCTGTATTCTGAAACCTAACTTAGCCTTTCTAGTATTCACAATGGATGGCAAGGCCCTTGTTCAGCTCCCTTGTGTTATGCTAAGTCTTAATCCCAAGACACTCACCATTACCACAGTACAGTGGGAATCTGTTCCTAAAAGGGCAAGAATCTTTCTGGTTACTCAAATCTACTTAAGAACCTTATCAGTAAGTTTATAATTAATATCTCTAAAGCGGGGACAGAATGTTCCTTGGGACATACCAGGTACCCTAAAGAAGGGGAGGGGAGGGGAGGGGAGGGGAGGGGAGAAGCAGCAGCAGCTGTAGAGAAAAGCATTCTTTTTTTTCCCCAGGAATCTCACAATGATAGAAATATGGTAAAGAGCATTCTTCAGAGGACAGCTTGTCTTCTGCTAAATGGTGGTTTTATTACTCCCCCCCCCCCATGAATAGGCAAGTCTCCTATGCCAGTCATTTTTGTAAGTGCATTCAGGCTCCCTAAATTCCATATCTGCCCCGGCTCAAAAAGGCTTGGCTGTGTTCTGAACATAAGAAATGTTTCTACCATACAGTGCTAGATACCATGGACCAAGTTTCATTCTTGAGTTAAATAATATAGGGATGCTTCTGTGAAAAAAGCTGTTAATTTTGCTTCAAAGGGCAGATAAATTGAGCTGCATTGATTAGCATTGCCTTACTAGATTTTTAGACATGTAGCTATGATTAAATTTAGAGCACAAGAATTAAATGGTATCTGTTTTCCATCCCCCCTCCCCCCACTTTTCCTTATGTGATTTAGGGAGTGTCTTTATTTCCTGCCTTGTAGAGAACTGTAAATTTTTGACTTGACTGGTCAATACTTTGTTAGTCATTAGACTAACTACTGGTCTAATACTTCGTATTAGAGGTAGGTAGAGCAGTGCCTACCAGTTTCCTGAGCCATCTGACTTTTCCCCCCTAAATTCCTTTAATTAAAGAAAACAATGGGAATCTTCCAGAAGGGTAACCATATTGGAATGCCAGCTTCCAGCATTATCATTTCAAATAATGTCTCTAGGGTCCACATATTCTTCAGGGCATTCTGAAAAAAACAAAAATGGTATGTTACTGCAGCTCAGTGATTTGTTTGGAAGAGTGCCCAGAAAATAAAAGTAAAAATTATGTGGGTTGTTAGGAAACCTGGGGGGATGGGGTGCAGAAATTTGTGAAGAGGAACCTCCTCTATCTACCCTCTGATAAATGGTATTTTATGACTGGCCATAAGTTAGCAATAGCCTTGAGTTTGAAAAGCTCAGGAGACTTTTATCTAGGATTTTTGAATTTTATCTTGAAGGAACTGAAACACAGGGAGGGGGGGAAGAATATAAAAGTACTGAGCTAAAAATGTAGCTCTCTGCAGAAGATCTGGTTCAGAAGCTACCCATGCAAATTAAAGATGACCCAGGAAAGCCAGAGAGGGAGACCTTAAAATTATGCCTGTGTTATTAAGCAGAAAAATGGTAATCTCAGCAAATCACTGTACTTTCCAGTAGTATTAATTGAAATAGCCGTACCGAAAGCGGCATTGGGGAAAGTCCTTCCAATGACTTGTATTGCCTGCTGTCACCTCGGCTGTTTATGCAGCTTGCTTGCTTGTAGGCTATCGTTTTTTCCTATGTGCTCTATTGTTAGAATGAAGTTCTGTAGGATTCTTTAAATGTTTTTACATGGCAGATGAGCAGTGCCTTGCTTATGACTGCAAAAATGCTAGAGCTGTCTCTTCCAGAATCCCCCCCCCACCTCCCCCTACTGTGATCTGTTGACATTATCCTCTGTTCCTTAGCTTCAGACAGTAAAGTCATGACATGTGCGGCTGTTTGGAGGATGCCGAAGGAATTGGAATCAGGCAATCATGAATCCCCTGATGATTCATCAAGCAATGCTCAAATCCTGGAGCTACTCTGTCACCTTGACAACACAGCCCATGGCAATATGGCCGGGTAGGACTCTGCATATTTTATACTCCCAAGGAAAAAGAATGAAGGGCAGACAGTGCAGGTTTCTATTAAATTTGAACTTTGTACATTGAAATATACATGCCTTAAATGAAAGTTTCTTTATTGTTATTCTAGACAGGATCAGGAGTTAAAAGCATTAGTCCTTCAAATATTTATATACTGTTTAACTATTTTTTTGATAATTCATTAATTCTGTAATACTGTGCATTTCTGTGTCTCTGTATATTTTGTGTGACATGCAACTAATAGAAAAATAGCTCAGTCACTGGATAGAATTTGACTTAGAAAAGTCTGAGTCCTTGTTCTTTCCTCTCCCTTGCGCTACCTGCTCCATCTCCACTCGGCTTGGTAATTGGTGTTCCTTAAAAATCTTCCTTTATTTTATAGTGTACTTTGTAACAAAACAAGGAAATAGTTTTCTATCAGCAATTCATAGCGATGCATAGCTGATGCTTATCAAGTAAGGCTTTTCCTATTTTCCTTTTGTTGTTACTAATGAAGCGGTTCTTTTTTATGCTGTTTGTACACTGATACAGATAAAGAAATCATGATGGGTCCCATAAACCCGAGATGACTTAATTTCAGTCTCTCTATATTTTCTGATCGGCCAATTGAGCAGTTGAATCCTAGATATGAATGGATAAATTTAATCTGACATAATATGTCTAAATCATTCTGCCTTTTCCCACTTGATTAAGCTAGGCTCAATATTATTTAAATTCTTTACTCCATATTGATTGCTCCCTCTTCCTGCATTTTATTCAATAGATTTTTCTTATTTTAAAAATTGTTTCCAGGGAGTTCAATGATTATTGAAATAAGTTGAACTGTATGGTTTCATTCATTTGGTCTCATACTTATATGATTTTGTATATTTTAAAATACATTTCAATAAATTCAGCTTTTCTCCCTTAAAAGCTGCAACAGGAGTCACATGGTTTCTTAAACATTTGACAAACATTTTGTAGGACACAGGGGTCCAAATCCATTTTCTTGGATGCCCATTTTCTGGGTCATGAAAATCTATGCTTGGAATATCTTTGTCAGCCTTTTGAATGCTATAAAATGTAATGAAACGAAGTCATTGGGTGCTACAACTCTCGACTTCCTGTTGAGTAATCATGCAGTCTTGTTTTTTTCTCTCTCTCTCCTCGTGCTGGCTAAAGACCTGCTGACATAATTGGTCGTATGGACCTAATGTTAGCTGTACTCTCTTTTGCTTTGTTTTTCCTGGCTGGGACCTATGCCCCATGCCACTCTCTCAGACCACAGGAAGCCACCTCAGCCAGTTTCAGCATATTTAGCAGCTGCAGCCACTCTCTGCCATGGACCTCTTTGGTATGTCACCTGCTGATGTAGCCTCTATGGTAGGCCCTTCCAATCGGATGCTTCAGTAGGTCTCTACTGCAGCAGCCTTTTGATGGGCTACATACTCCCTACAAGGTTTATGCGAGGTCTTCTCAGTGGCCACACCTAACAATTACAGGACTCTTCCTAGGCCTCGTCTGCTGAACTGCTTCTGGCCTCCATGCTCAGGCCTTTGATAAGCCTCTTCAAAGGGTTGCTGCCACTGGACTGCCCCAGGTCTGCTGCTTCATCTCCATTTAGGTCATTCTGCTCTTCCCACTGTTTTATCAGTACCTGCTGCAGTTGCTATAGCTTCAGCAATGCTTAGCTGGCTACTTTTTCCTCCTGGTCTTAGCTGCTCAGCTTCTAGCTCTACAGCTCAAAGAAAAACCCTTTCTGGCTCTCTTGATAAGAAACTTCCATGTGTCACTCCAGCCAGTTCCAAACTCCAAGAAATACTCCCGAGACCCTCTCTCACATCTCTCAGCTACGCTCACCTCCCCCACACAGCTGGGCTATAAATTCTTGCTTTTATCTTCATAGCTCCATCAGTGTATTAATTTAAAAGCAACAGGGAAGAGAGGGGCTGCAAGGCATTTCTTTCCACTGCTGAGCCAGACCCTTCCTTTCACAGACAAGTACAGCAAGCATGCCATGTCAAAACTGGAATTATTTACTATTTCAGATCCTAATAGGTACACCTCCCTACTACACAGGTAGGCTACATTTATTATATGTAGGTGTGTTTGTGTGTACACACACACACAATTTTATGAGGTTTGAGCACTTACATTCAAATAAACCAAATGCTTTGAGAAAAAAAAAATGTCCTTATTGACATGTTGGAAACAACATTTGGCAATAGGCAATAAAATAATATGCATTTGCAATTTTTTTAGAAGCAACTGAAAAGCAAACATCATTCCACTTTGGAAAATGTTGGCCCTGGAAGTATTTCCAGTCCATTCCTCTGGGTATTGGTGCAGAGGAGACAGCACTCAAAGGTCCTTTAAAAATTAAGAGAATCTTAAAAAAAATTGATGAGAATCTTCAGGATATTACATTTGCTAGTTATTGTTGTTTATTAAAGCTCTGAGGTCCACCAGTGGCTTATAAATTAAGGACATACATTTAGAATTAAGATCAAAATATCTTTGAGCCGAGGAATGTGTTTCAGTACCAAATCTAGGAAAACCTACTCTGCCTGATTTTTTTCCTATTACTATCACCCCTCAGAAACTCTAGTCAATGTCTTGAAAGTCATCCAATGATCTCTTGTTAGATTTCAGTCCTCTTTCTTTCCACCTTTGAGTTTAGGCATAAATAATCTGTATTAAAAGATCTTGAATATCTTGTGTTAAGGGATTATGAATAGAAAAAAAATACGTTGCTTGTACTTTCTAATGTTCCCTTCATTATTCATGTCCATAATTCTTTGCAAGTGTTAGATAATCCACCAAGATTTGGTCAGTAGTCCACTGAAGAATAATGGCTATATTTTCCTCACCCTAACTATAAACAGTAAAGTAGCACATCACTATTTATCTAATTAGCTCAAAATCTAGAATTGGAAGAAGGTAGCTACATTTCTTTCCCCATTAGTTCATAAGCAGATACAGGACTCCTGGTTTCCTTGCCTGCCTAATAGCATCAGGATCCTGCCAGATCTTTTCAGAACTGTTGGAGGAAAGAGGGAATCTTTCTCATAATGATATCAACAAACATAATGATTCCTGCATTTACTCTGGTGTTGAGATATTTAATGCCATACAATACTCGTTTGCTAAGTTTGTAACCAAAAATGCAAAAGAGGTCACTGATAGAAGGCTCAGGAAAATCCCATGGTTTGGTGAAGTACAAAATAACTTTAGAAATAAGTATTTTCAGGAGTAATGGCAGGGGGGAGCAGAGGGAGAGTGGAAATCAAGGGAAATGATGGAGTATCCTGGGAAAAAGGCATGCAGTAGTTGGCTGGGACTCTCAGCAGGAGCATTTCATACTGCAGACCCTATTTGTATTTATGCAATATTGGATTTTGTGTATCAAACAATTTGAATGATTTGGACCTAAAATCATTCTTGGATAGTACAGCGTTAATAATAAAAATTGTGTAGGAGGAACTGGCATATCATGTTTTGGGATTTGTTTTGGAGGTTTTTTGCTCAGTTGAGGAAGCCTTGTATTCAAACCAATTCAAAGTATTTTAAAATATTTTCTAGTAACCATTTGGCAAACCAGATAGAAAGTCTGACTATGTCACATATGAATCTGAAACCAGTTTAGAATAAGTCTAGTTCCAGCTAGGGATTGCTATTAAGCACCCTGAAGAAATTAAGAAACATTTGATGAGATGTTACTCGTTTTGTCTTCCCCCAACATTATGATTGCATCTTGAAGGTTTTATATTGACCTGGTGAATGTGGTTGTCAAAAGGCGTGATTTGACTCGGGGATGCAACTCAGCTATAAGACAACTGATCAAACAGTATAGTGAATATGGCCCATATTTGTGCTAATTATAAGGGCTGTAAATGTATACAAATAAAGCCAATGCTTTGTTGCTATAGTAGTTGTTTCTGAACATTGCCAGTTCTCTGGCTGGCAGAAATGTCCTGGGTTTGTTTGCTTTATTTTTCTCTGACAACCATCCATTTGCAGTTTTTAGTTCTTTTCCATATATGGCCCTACAATATGGCTGGCATCTTCTGGTTGTTTGTCTTGAACCTCTAAACAGTATCATGCCCTATGGTGGTCATGGTGGGGCAATCTCTTGCAATGCCATGTTTAAAAATTTATCTTCAGACTTGGCATAAGCTGTTTGTCTTGGACTAATTTAACATCATTATCCTTGTATTTCTTCCTTTCCCTCACTCTTCATTTTATTCCGTATTAGGCCTCTTGCTTTCCTTTGACGTGGATGCTTCATTCAGATCCTTTCTACCTTTTTCTCTTCTTTTTCCTTCTCTTGTCCCTGTTTTACAGACTTAAAAACAATCCCTGACTACTCGTTCTTGGTAATCTGAAGTCCAAAACAAAGCAGTTGTATGGTACATTTCTGTGAACGGGGGAGAATAAGCAGTCTTGGTACCTGTCTTGCTTCCAAAGCTTAATGCCATAATCAAGTAGAAATCCATTTGGTCTCACTAGAAACATGAGAGGAGCAAGAATGTCCTGTTGCATCGGTAGGCCTGAGGCAGACTCTTGATTCAGAACAACTTCAAGAGAAACATGAAGGCTGGATTATATATCTTATATTTCTTCTGTGAATATGGGTTTTTCTCCAAAGTGCTAAAACAATTCTTATGGTCAGACTGATCATTCACATTCAGAGCTATACATTCATCAAACTCTCTCTTAGAAACTGAAGCCTTTCACATTGAAGGCTGAAGATTAAGATTCTCTGATGATATTAGATTATTTGGTTTCCTGTCAAGCAGAAAAAACTCAGCCATGCTTCTGGCATATCATTTTTCTTTATGTGTACAGAGGGGCATATAATTCTAAAATATGTTCAGAACAATCTGCTCATCTATATACTTCTAAAACTCTCCTGCCTGTTTGTCTGTTTGTAACCTTCAGTTGGCCGAAACGGTGCATCATAGGGTGACAATTTTTGAAGCAAGATACCTCAAATGG